GGGGGGCCGGGAAGCTCTTGTGTGGGGCAGGAAAGAGGCGCTGGGCACGAGGCCGGGGCTGTGCTGAGCAGGCCCAGCCCTCACATCCCCCCAGCCAACGCCGGCTGCCCGGGGGGCTTGGGAGGGACCCCCAGCCCGTGTGCCCCACACTGAGCTGGCAGAGAGAGAGCCAAGGGACAGGGATGTGGGCAGGGCCACGGGTGAGGGACAGGCAGGGCCATTGCAGGGACACATTGTGAGGGCACAGCCTGTGGCAGCAGAGCTGCCCAGGGCCGGGGGCAGCCGGGGGTGTTGGTACCAGGCAGTGCTGGGGCTGAGCAGAGCAGGAGGCCTCTTGCAGAGCCCTGGAGCAGCCTCCCACTTGCCAGCCCCACCCTGGTGGGGTGACACTGTCCCCTCCCTACAGGACACCCCCTGAAATCTTCCTGGGGGCCTTTTCTGTATGTTGCTGGTTGCTGATTCCTGTTGGGGACGTGAGGGACCCTCTGCAATCCCATCCATGGGGCACAGTTTCCTCTCCAGAGCTTGACTCACTGCAGCCTTTGCAGGGAAATCTGTGCTGGCAGCTCGAGTATGTCCCAACCCCCCGTGCTCCCCCCAGGATATTTGGGACGAGTTCCCCCTTCCCAGGCACCCCTGGGATGGGGGGTGATTGTTCTCCTGCTGTTGCTGTTTCTGCTCCACCGTTGGAGGCTCTTGGGGGTGGGCAGGAGGTGTTTTTTGGGGGTGCCGGGCTGGGTTGGGGGCAGAGCCCCGTCGGTGTGTGGGGGGATGTGGGTCCCCCCCCACGGTGGGGGTTGGTGTTGCTGGGTCAGGCCCCACCGGCTCCATTGTCAGCCCGGTGCCGGCGGGGGGGACACAGCGGGTTTGGGACCCCCCAGGAGTGCTGGGGGTGGGTGTGGAGCCCAGGAGCTGCCGAGTGTGGAGGGCGGAGCGGGGAGATGTCAGAGCTGGGGGACCCCCAGCAGCCTGGAGGGGGGAGCACGGAGAGGGAGGAGCCCCGGGACCCCCGGGAGCCTGAAACGGGGGGTGCTGAGAAGGGGAAACTTGGACAGTGGGGACCCCTGGGATCCCTGGGACAACAAGGTGGAGAACCTGGAGAGGGGGAATGTCTGGGAACGCGGCACCCTGAAGGTGAGAGTCAGAGGAGAAGAGACCCTTGGGACCCCCAACACTCCCAGCATCCCAGACGGGGGAGACCCTCTGAACCCCAGAGGGGAGAGACCAGAGAAGGGGAATTTCTAGGAGAGATGTTTTGGGCTAACCTTCATATTTTGAAGTATTATTTATCTGAATCTCAAATATTTGCAGTTTGGGGGAGCGAGGGTCTTCTTTCTGTTTCTGAAGGGTTTTTTACCTGAATCTCAGTGGTTTGGGTTTTCCTGGGCTGAATCTTGGTGTTTTGGAGGTTTTTATGGACACAGGATGCCTGGTGAGTTCTAGAGATGGACTTGGGCAGGAGGAACCCCCAAGCCAACGTGCTCAGCCCTTGTTTTCCCCCATCAGGATTTGTCCTTCCCAAAGCTTGGGCAGATGAAGGAGGCTGCGAGGAAGAGGAAGATGCCTTGGGCCCCCCAGGCAGGTGAGGAGGAAGTCAGTGGCCCTTTGGGCGGGTGTTGTGCTGGCTCTGTCAGCCGAGCATGGCCCCGGCTGCAGGACAACCCCGCTGCCGCCGCCGTCCTGCCGGGGCCGGAGTTGGGGGGATGTCCTTGGCCTTCCCTGTGGGCCGGAGGCAAATCCCCTCCCTGTCCTTCTTGCTTCCTGCCCCAGGCCCCGAGCTGAGGCCGGAGAGCCCGGAGGACAAATCCCCCCGTGAGACCCTGGTGGGAGAGGCCGTTTTGAAGGGCTCCCCGGCGCAGGAAGGCAGCGGGGAGGAAAAGGGCCGGAGATCCCCCCGCAGGAGGGGCTCCAAAGCCAGCCCAGGGTGCTCTGAGGAGGAAAGACCCAGCCTGTGCCGGGAAGGCGGCCGGAGCTTGAGGGGGAGCTCTGAGCTGGTGGTCCCTGAGCAGCCTCCCAGCAGGGAGAAGCCCTTCAGGTGCTTGGAATGTGGGAAGAGCTTCAGGAAGAGCTCTGACCTCCTCACCCACCTGCACATCCACACTGGGGCACGTCCCTACACGTGTGGGGAATGTGGGAAGAGCTTCCACTGCAGGTCCTACCTGATCCAACACCAGCACATCCACACTGGGGAGTGGTCCTACAAGTGTGAGGAATGTGGGAAGAGCTTCAGGCAGAGGTCCACCCTCATCAATCACCAGCACATCCACACTGGGCAGAAGCCCTACAAGTGTGGGGAATGTGGGAAGAGCTTCAGGCAGAGCTACAAAATGTTCCTACACCATCGCATCCACACCGGGGAACGGCCGTATACGTGTGGGGAATGTGGGAAGAAGTTTCAGACCAGCTCACATCTCCTCAGCCATGAGCAGACACACACGGATGAGAGGCCCTTCTGCTGCAGTGACTGTGGAAAGGGCTTCAACCAGAACTCCACCCTCATCAGGCACCGGCGCATCCACACCAGGGAGAGGCCCTACAAGTGTGGGGAGTGTGGGAAGAGCTTCACCCAGAGCTCTAAGCTGACCAGACACCAACGGACCCACCAGTAAGAGAAGCCCTCGAGTGCCCCAACTGCAGGAAGAGCTTCAGTCTGTGCTTCTACCCCGAATGAACCCCCTGATTGGGAGGCAACCCCTGGAGTCCAGTGACTGTCAGTCCATCCCTTTCGACCCCAAAGGGCCAGTCCCCTTTCCCAGGGACAGCTTCTTCCAACAGAACCCTTCCTGAGGGGTGTGTGGAGATTCCTGCCTTGGCTGGGGACCCCCCAAGGTCACTGCTGG